GGCCAGAGAAGCATACGACTTGCGGCTAAGAGTTGCCAAATAGCACTTATGAACTAAAAAGATTTATGGATGAACTGGAAGAAGTCTATGTGCATACTGAGAAGAAATTAGATATATACCAAAATGGACTAACTAATCTCCTAAATTCCTTGACTTAATGAAAGCATTAATTTTTATAACTAACAGTATACTAACTGTTAATGACCCTACTTCCTTGGGTTTTTAGTTATAGTGTGGGTTTTCTTTCTTTATACTGTCTGTATCCTGGGGTTTGTTATTTTACTTTGTTATTTTTTCCCCTCCCCATTTTTCTCCTTTTTTTTTCTTTCTTCTTTCTCTCTTTTCCTTTTTGTAGTCACGTAGGTGTAATAAAAAATCAATAAAGCTACCCTTCGGGGGATTAAAAAAAATAGTAAGGATTTTCAGTGGAGGATGCTGTCATTATCTGTGGTCACAGTCCCCCCCCCCACTATTTTTTTAAAGGTCCTAAAATATCGGTATGTTGCTGATGTGTTGTGATGATGCCTTAAGCAGGTTCTCTGAATTCCCAGATTTCATTTTACAAAAAAAGGCCAGTCTCCCTCATAGACATATACAGAAAAAGACATATCTCCATGAAGGATGGAACCAGATACTTACTTTTTTTGCTTTATTTTTTTTATATAAAGATTTTATCATTTTTCCAATACCACAACACTAAATCTATTGGGATAGGGGGGTTGAACACTAATACACTAGTACACTACAATTCTGATAGGGAGTAGAGAGGTGGAGCTAACAGAGTAACATCGATCTGGATTACATGAGTATATAACTGTATCGCCTACTAATACAAAAATAGCATTATACATGACAGTTAAAGAATAAAGATTAGCTTTAGATCTCATTTTAACAAAAACTGCAGTTAAACATCTATCTTGGTTTCAGAGTCTTTTCTTCTTGCATTTCTTCATTGTCTGAGCTTTGGGAGCAGCTGTTCCTTTTTCAGATTCCGATGTCTCTGAAGATTTAGAACTAGTGCTTGTTGAATTGAATCCTGTGAGTAGGATTCTTCTTCGTCTTCCTCCTCCTCCGCACTAGGTTTTGGGTTCTTTTCTTTTTTATTTTGATTTGGCTTTGAAGATTGGACCATAAACTTATTTGCTTTAGGAACAGAATCAATCTTGAATTTTTTGTCCTCATAACTGAAACTCAGACCTTCGAGGAATATCCATTAGGGTATTCCCTTTTTTGTAGAAAGAGAATAAGTTCCTTATAGAGTCTCCTCCACTTCCTCACTTCAAAGGGGATATCTTTTAGAATTTTTACATCTTCTTTTAATTTTTAAAGACTTCCCCATCGTGGATTTAAGCACCAGGTCCCTGGTAGATCGTTTCGTGAATTTCATATAAATTTCTCCTGGGAGTTTGTTTTTCTTTATAAAATCCGGGTAAATCCTGTAGGTCAAGTCCATCTCCTTCAATAAATCTTCTCGTTTATAATCCATTAGTGGTACAAGGGCGTCCACTAACAGTTCCTTTAAGTTTTCATTTTTTTCTTCTGGAATCCCATGGAAGCGTAACACGTATGTAGATCTTTCCAGCTGGAGCTGAATTAGCTATGTTTTGTCAGAGGTTCTTTCTTTTTCCGCTTCATCCACTCTTTTGTTAATGCTCTCAGTCTTTTTTTCCATCTTTTTTAGTTTTTTCTCGGTATCTGAGGGGTTTTTTATCCATTTGATTCAGTTTTTTTGGACACTGTCCAATTTAGTGTTGAGATTACTCATCTCCTCCATTAGAGGGTACAATGCATTTGCTAGCAATGTAGAAAAGTCTGTGGTTACTTCCTGGTTCTGGGAGGGAGTTGTTGGTTGATTGTTTCCGGGGAGTGGTTTTTTCTCCGGCATCGTTTTCTGCCCTCTCCCCACCATAATATCAACAAGAAGTAAGTTTTCCAAAACAAAATAAAAGTTCAACGGTTTTAATTGGCTTTATACTAGCATGCAGCTTCTGACTTTGTTAAACTTTTTATCCGTTTGGATTAGCTTAAAGTCTTTTGGTTTTGCTTTAAAACTGCTTTTCAAGTTTTACTGGGGGGGGGAGTCTTGAGTTCCCCCTCAACCCACGCTTTGCTCGTAGGCACTTCTAATTACTACCAAGGCTTTTATATTCACTTTGTAGCACATGAACGTTACTTCACTCACGGTTTGGAGCCTTGGAGATCTTTTAGAAGCATTTTTTAAACTTTTGATCGTGTCCGCTTGCTCCGGCAATCGTCTCTGGTCGCCATATTGGCTCTACGGGGATGGGACCTTACAGGGAAAAGGTGAGCCTCAATTCCTTCGCCGTCGCCTTGGAAGAGGCTCTCCTCAGCTCCCCAGGCTGGGGAGTCTCCTACAAAGACCCCGGGAGGGTCCGGGACAGTCTTGGACCCTTCCTGTCAGTCGTGTCTCGGTGCGTCTCCATCAGAGTGAGACGGGATGCGTCCGAGCGTCAAAACGTTGAAACCGGAAGTCACTTTTTTGTTTTAAATGAAAGCTGGGAATACAGAGAACCTGCTTAAACTATCATTACAAGCCTACAGTGATATATTGATATTTTAGGGCCTTTAAAAAAAAACCTGAAATCACTCATCTGGAAGGGCGGGACAGGAAGTGGTTTAATGATGATGAAAGCCCAATAATTGAAAAGTGGGCTGGAGGTGGATGGGTCAAAAAGCATCGATAGAAACATTACACACTAGGCAAAAGCTGACTGAGACTGGCTTCCAGAAAAACATCCCTCATGTATCACTGCCTTGACGTGGCGAGGGGGCTTGCGTGATTCGATGAGGCTGTGGGCTATGCCGTGGAGGGCCACCCAGAATGGACTGGCCACAGCAGAGAACTCAGACCAAGCGTGATCCACTGGAGAAGGAAATGGCAACCCACTCCAGTATCTTTGCTAAGAAAACCCCATGGACAATAACAAAAGGTTACAAGATATGAAGCCGGAAGATGAGCCCCTCAGGTCGGAAGGTGTCCAATATGCTACTGGGGAAGAGCAGCAGGCAAGTACAAGTAACCCCAGAAAAAGTGAAGTGGATGGGCCAAAGCCGAAAGGACGCTCAGCTGTGGATGTGTCTGATGGTGAAAGGAAAGTCCGATGCTGCAAAGAACAATACTGCACAGGAACCTGGAATGTAAGATCTATGAATCAAGGTAACCTTGACGTGGTCAAAATGAGATGGCAAGACTGAACATCAACATCTTGCGAATCAGTGAACTAAAGTAGACAGGAATGGGCGAATTTAACTCAAAATACCATTATATCTACTATTGTGGCCAAGAATCCCATAGAAAAAATGGTGTGGCCTTTATAGTCAACAAGAGAGTGCGAAAGGCAGTAATGGGATACAATCTCAAAAACGACAGAATGATCTCGGTCCAAATCCAAGGCAAACCATTCAACATCACAGTTATTCAAATCTATGCCCCAACCACTGATGCAGAAGAGGCTGAAGTGGACCGGTTCTATGAAGACCTACATCACCTCATAGAACTAACACCAAAAGAACACATTTCCAACAACCTAAGAGGTGACTCTACACAGATGGGCAACACCGAAATCAGATTGATTATATCATTTGCAGTCAAAGATGGAGAAGCTCTATCCAGTCAGTAAAAACAAGAACTGGAGCTGACTATGGCTCAGATCATGAGCTACTCGTTGCAAAATTCAGACTTAAATTGGGAAAACCACTAGGCCATTCAGATTTTACCTAGATTGGACAGAGGTTCGTGACATTGTACAGGAGGCAGCAGTCACCACCATCATGAAGAAAAAGAAATGCAAGAAAGCAAAGTGGCTGTCTGATGAGGCTTTACAAATAGCAGAGGAAAGAAGGAAAGCAAAAGGCAAAGGTGAAAAGGAAAGATTTACCCAACTGAATGCAGATTTCCAGAGAACAGCAAGGAGAGGTAAGGAGGCTTTCCTGAATGAACAATGCAAAGTAATAGAGGAAAACAATAGAATGGGAAGGACTAGAGATCTCTTCAAGAAAATTAGAGAAATCAAGGGAACGTTCCATGCAAAGCTGTCCATGATGAAGGACAAAAACGGTAGGGACCTAACAGAAGCAGAAGAGATTAGGAAAAGATGGCAAAAATACACAGAAGAACTATACAAGAAAGACCTCGATATCCTTGACAACCACGACGGTATAATCACTGACCTCGAGCCAGGCATCCTGGAATTTGAAGTTAAATGGGTCTTGGAAAGCATTACTAACCACAAAGCTAGTGGAGGTGATGGTATCCCAGCTGAGCTATTCAAAGTCTTAAAAGATGATGCTGTTAAAGTTCTGCACTCAATTTGCCAGCAAATTTGGAAAACACAACAGTGGCCACAGGATTGGAAAGGGTCAGTATACATTCCAATTCCAAAGAAGGGCAATGCCAAGGAATATTCAAACTATCACACAATTGCACTCATTTCACACGCTAGCAAGGTCATGCTAAAGATCCTACAACCTAGGCTTCAGCAGTACGTGGATAGAGAACTGCCAGAAGTACAAGCTGGGTTTCGAGGAGGTAGACTGGAGAAGACTGAACAACAACAAAAAGTGGTCTCAAAAGAGCCTAAAAAACTCTGAGGAATAAACAAAAACAAACAACAACAAGTGAATACTAAAGGCACAAAAATGCATGCAGAAATCAGGGGATACAGCGAAGCAGTATGGGGCCAGAACTGGCGGGGGGGGAGGTAAAAAAGAGCACATGTCAATATCATTTGATTTAACAAAAGCTTTGAAGACAGAACATTTTACTGCATTTCTCAAAACACAATGTCCATTTGGATTAAATGATTTCTAGCCTGTAATGGTATGCAAGCTGCCCTCCAGGCTATCAGGCACTTTCAGGATTTTACAAGGCCAGACATAACAAACAAAATACAGACCTTCATCTTACCTGGAAACTACTCATGAAAGAAGAGTCTTCACAATTCACAATGTGCCCCAGTCTTGCTTGCTGAGCTCGCAATTCATTCTCCCTAATCTTCTGGTATAAAAGGTTAATTTGCTGGTTCTGCCTGTAATTCATAAGAATCAGAACAGAAAGGAAAAGCATGTGAAACCCGAGTTACACTTTCAGTGTTTCCAATCTCATTCATTCAAGTGCAAATGTTTTATAATGCTGGGATCTATACTTACTGTGGAATGTAAATTCCCATGGTATGTTCAGTAATATCTTACAGTATGTGTACAAGTTCTGGTGTGCATATGAAACACACCTTTTACACCTCCCTTATTTTCTTCAGATGATTTCAAAGCTCTGCATGCACTGAGAGATGCACAGAGTGGTTATACTTTCCACTGAGGACTCTTGCAAAACAACGTTCTGTGCACTTCACAGCACAAACTGGAGGACCAAGACTACATGTCATTCTCAGCTCTTGAAAATTCTGGGTGCCAGGTTGCCACTGCAACCTGAAATTTGCTCTTGGCACATAGAGCTCAGGTGGCCCTTGACCTGTATTCTCTTATAGAGGTTAAAAGAAGGAGGGAAAGGGGGAGTTAGCCCTTAAAAGGAATGCCCTGCAAAATTTCCAGCACAGAGCTTTGCTGATTGGGTATGAACTCTGATGTACAATGAGAGGAACTAGAGATCAAATTGCCAACATTCGCTGGATTATGGAGAAAGCAAGGGAGTATCAGAAAAACATCCACTTCTGCTTCATTGACTACGCTAAATCCTTTGATTGTGTTGATCACAACAAACTATGGCAAGTCCTTAAAGAGATGGGAGTACCAGACCACCTCACATGTCTCATGAGAAACCTGTATAAGGGTCAAGTAGCGACAGTTAGAACCGGATATGGAGCAACTGATTGGTTTAGCATACGAAAAGGAGTACGACAAGGATGTAGATTGTCACCCTGCTTATTTAATTTCAATGCAGAGTACATCATGCGAAATGCCAGCCTGGATGAATCACCGGAATTAAGATTGCCGGGAAAAACATCAACAACCTCAGATATGCAGACAATACCACTCTAATGGCACAAAGTGACGAGGACCACAAGAGCCTCTTGCTCAGATGAAAGAGGAGAGCACAAAAGTTGGCTTGAAACTCAGCTTAAAAAAAACCCTAATATCATGGCATCTGGCCCCATCACTCCTTGGCAAATAGAAGGGGAAGTCTGGAAGCAGTGACAGAATTCACAGTTCTGGGATCCAAGATCACTGCAGACGGTGACTGCAGCCATGAAATTAAGACACTGCTCCTTGGGAGGAAAGCGATGGCAAACCTTGACAGCATAACAAACAGTAGAGACATCACCCTGCCAACAAAAGTCCACATGGTCAAAGCAATAGTATTCCCAGTAGTAATGTATGGCTGTGAGAATTGGACCATAAGGAAGGCTGAATGCTGAAGAATAGATGCTTTTGAATTATGGTGCTGGAGAAGACTCTTGAGAGTCCCTTGGACTGAAAGGAGATCAAATCAGTCAATCCTAAAAGAAATCAACCCTGACCGTTCCCTGGAAGGCCAGATACTGAAGCTGAAGCTCAAATACTTTGGCCACCAAATGAGAAGGAAGCACTCACTGGAGAAGACCCTGATGCTGGGAAAGATTGAAGGAAAAAGAAGGGGATGACAAAGGATGAGATAGTTAGGCAGTGTTATTGATGCAACGAACGTGAAGTTGAGCAAACTCTGGAGCACGACAGAGGACAGGAGGGCCTGGTGTGATGTCGTCCATGGGGTCGCAAAGAGTTGGGCTCGACTGTGCGACTGAACAACAACAAAAGTACAATGAGCGCAATCACTTACCACTCTCCTGCTCACCTGCTTAGCATCACCACCACCACTACACAGAAGAACAACTTTTGCCTTTGCTAGGATCTTCTACTTTCTCCTGACACAGCCAGGAAACAGTTGTAGGAACTAGAGTTCCACTTTTCCAGCTTATGGTGGGAGACCTCCAGGTAACTGCAGCCCTTGCCTACCAATGCTCATCTGGTCAGCGGGAAGACACTGGGGCCAAATGGTGGTGGTGGGGAGATGATCATACTGGGGAGAATTTTTTTTTTTTAAAGGCCTCATATACATACCAGAAGTTCTGGCCACAGAGTTTCTGGCAATTCGAAGAACTACCCAGAAGTAACAAAGAGAAGCTCTAGAAATTGCCAAACACTCTAAGTTTACCATAGAGTTTTTTTCTGGCAATTCTTAAGAGCTACCCTTTGTCACTTCTGGGTAGCTCTAAGAATTGCTAGAACTTCCAGTAAATAGACGAGGCCTTATCTGCTGGGATGCTGCCCCCCACCAAGCCTTCCATTAGTTGCCAGGCAACCCTAGTGATAACTGGTTGGCCACTATGTGAGACAGGATGCTGGACTAGATGGAGCACTGGTATGATTCAGCAGGGATCTTCTTAAAGCAGAAGACAATCAGGTGGCTGTGCTTAGTGAGGTGAGCAATGATAAGAGACTTTTCCCCAGAGAGGGGCAGAGGAAAATGTCCTGGAGAGGAAGCAACAAGTCTTTCAGTCTTCAAGCCATCATTCAGTGCTACGGGAATCATTCACAGTACAAATAATACAGCAGACTGTGAGTGGTTTTATATTCTGGTTTGGTATACTAATTATATAAATAGGATTATGATCCAGATTTACTGAGTCATTGAAGTGGAAGCTCCTGTTTGCGATATATTCACCATCACCCCCTCTAAAGATTCCATGCCTGTATTGAAAAGGGAATAATTATTGGGCATTTTGTGTCTTAATAATGAAGAGACAAAATACCCAATAATTATTCCCATTATCATAATAATAATCATTATTATTATTACTACTATTGTTGTTGGAAGTGGTGGTAGTGTTCCTGTTGTTGATGCTGGTGATGTTGTTGTTGTTATGTTATTTATAGTCCACCTTTCTTGCTGAGACTCTTGGCAGATTACATAATGTAAGTCTAGTATAATCAACAGGTGGGACATCCAAAGAACAGAACAATATGGAACAGAAATCTCAAACAGAAATGAAACAAATCAAATGGAAGTTACCAGTCCATACGTATAGGGGTAGAGGGAGGGCAACAACGAAGGTGTTTAACAGATGCAAAGACCAAACAGAAATAACAAGCTTAGGTTACCATTTGTTTGGGTTTAATTCTGGGGGGGAAACATAGTGAAAGGAAATAATAGATAGAAACACAGTAGTATAGGCCACAGTCCCTTTGCCAATGTAACTTTCTAACTATTTCATTACCCTATAGTCCCATTTATTTGTGCAAAAACCCCTCTTGAATAGTTCCATCTATATAGCTTGTGGAAAGCCAGGAGAGTGGGAGTCTTCCTAACCTTGACAGGGAGGTCATCTCACTGGCACCTATTAGTTCAGGCCCAGTTTGTTTGCATTCTGCTGAATCAAATGGTGGGGTTTTTATTACACAGAACAGTCAATAGGCATGGTACTTAACAGAACAAAAGAAAGCAGTTCCTTGCCCCAAGGAGCTTACAATCCTTGAGATAGGGAAGATGACAAAGAGAGGAGAGAGAAGATGGAGGTGGGGGTGAACTAGGGAAGAATATGTTCATTCCAATGACACATACACATGCTTGATTCCTGTACGGGAAGGGAACTATGGGGTTCTGTGACAGCTTTTCCTGGGTTATGCCTCTTCAGAAAAACATCCACACATGCACAAAAACCATTTTTCACCCCCCTCAGAAAGAAGATGAGGATGAAGCAACTCTGCATCTTATTCAGGAAAGCATTCCAGAGCCTTGGACCAAATGTAATAAAAGCCTGCTCTTCACAACTAACTGATGTTCTTATCTCTTAGAGGAGGGCCTACTGAATTTAGGGTTGCCAGCTAATGTGGACAAGAGGATTCGTTTGTGGAAATGGACTGTTGATGTTATTTGTGACATGGAGCCAAATAACATAACCTGAGAAATTTTGTTGTTTTTCAGCCGCACAGTCGAGTCCGACTTTTCGCAACCCCATGGACCAGATCCCGCCAGGCCCTCCTGTCTTCCGCCGTCCTCTGAAGTTTGCTCAATTTCATGTTCGTTGCATCTATGACACTGTCTAACCATCTCATCCTTTGCCGTCCCCGTCTTCTTTGACCTTCAGTCTTTCCCAGCATCAGGGTCTTCTCCAGTGAGTGCTCCCTTCTCATTTGGCGGCCAAAGTATTTGAGCTTCAGTTTCAGTATCTGGCCTTCCAGGGAACAGTCAGGGGTGATTTCTTTTAGGATTGACTGATTTGATCTTCTTGCAGTCCAAGCGACTCTCAAGAGTCTTCTCCAGCACCATAGTTCAAAAGAATCTATTCTTCGGCGCTCAGCCTTCCTTATAGTCCAACTCTCGCAGCCATACATGACTACTGGGAATACCATTGCTTTGACCATGCGGACTTTTGTTGGCAGGGTGATGTCTCTACTTTTTATCATGCTGTTTAGGTTCGCCATCGCTTTCCTCCCAAGGAGCAGGCGTCTTTTAATTTCATGGCTGCTGTCACAGTCTGCGGTGATCTGGGATCCCAGGAACGTGAAGTCTGTCACTACTTCCACGACTTCCCCTTCTATTTGCCAAGGAGTGATGGGGCCGAGAAATAATGTCCAATTAATTCTCTATTAAAGAGACATTTTTCTCTAGGCCAGTTGGCAACCCCATTCATAACTTCTGCATGCAAAGCAGAGGCACTTCCACTGAGCCACAGCCCCTCCTGTTTATTGCTTTCTTTCCCCCTCCCCCTCCCCATTTATTTGCTTTCTTTCCACCTCTCTCTCTCTGTCTCTCTTTTCCTCCTATGTGGACTGCTGTGCTGATGGAAGAAGGAAGAAAGATTTTTATTCTCTCCCCCTCCTGAACAACCTCAGGAATAAACATTTCAGGGATCAGAAAGGACTGCTAGAGGTCAGGAAATGTAGGAAAAATCTTTGACCAGCAACAAATTCCACTGATGGATCACTGGGTGCAACCCTGTGGTTGGGAAAAATTGCGCCAGCTTCTAGTTTTTACTTAAAGTGAACAGACAGTCTTGTACCAAGCATCTTGTTGGGAAGTCTGTTCTTTATT